GTGTCAGTGAAATTAAAACGAAAACATGAAACGGTTTTGAGAAATGGTAACATCAGACATACCTTCTGTAGTAGTAGTCTCTGGTTCTAGAAATTAAAAGTCAAAAGTTAAAAGTGAGATTAGAACAACAACAACAAAATTACAACGACAACATAAAGACCTTTCAAGTCAAGTTAACGTTAGGCTAACCTTTTGTAGTAGTTATTTCTGCTGCTGGAAACGGAAAAGAATGAGAGATAACATCAAGTTAGTSACGGTGATATCATGATTAAAAACAGCAACAAAAACGGAAAAAGTAATACAGTTGTACGCTACTAAATCGTCATTGCACGTACCTTCTGTAGTTGTTACCTCTGCTACTGGAAATTAAAAAGCAAGTATAGGACTAAAATAGTGGCAATAAAATTTTTTACAATGTCTGGAGAAATTCTCGCTCGCTCATTGGCTAATTTTCAATGTCAATAAACAGACAGACACATGAATTTTTAATTTTGTCCCTTCTGCCTTCTGCGTCTGTCCTGTTGATGATCATAAATTTCGTCATAACATTGTCAAAGTAGGAAAGTGAAGAATGATCATCGCTGTAAATTTTCAAATTTAAGCAAATGGAAAGAAGAAGCCTGGAAAAAGTCAGGGCTTCAACGGGATTCGAACCCGTGATCTCCGCGATACCGGTGTGATGCTCTACCAACTGCGCTATGAAGCCACACATCGGGAGCGAGGTCAAAGTAGCTGTGGAGACTACTTTGACAATGTTATGACGAAATTCAATGTCAATAACAGGACAGATGCATGAAAACTGACGTCAATTTGTCAAATTACCAAACGTGAAAAAGGGCGTGCGAGCAGCTTCAATTTCAAACATACTATCTATTGTCTCCGGAGCTGGAAAGAAAATATTATGAATATTACAAATAAAAAAAAAAAGATTATGGTGATGCAATTAACACAAAAACAGTGATATAAAACAAATTCAGATACAATTAACAATACGCTCACCTTCTGTAGTGGTTGTCTCTACTGCTGGAAACCAAACAGAATAGAAAAATAACATAAAGTTAATAGTGGTCAAATTCCAACACAAAACTGAAGCAAACAAACACAATTGTTAGGAGCTATAACATTGTTAAACATACCTGCAGTAGTAGTTACCTCTGCAGCAACTGGAAATGAAGAGGCAAGTGATAAAATGTTAGCCAATAAAAATTAAGACGAACTAGAAAATTAAGAAATTTGAGTAGAAGTAATGTTATCGACATACCATCTGTAGTAGTCATCTCTGATGCTGGAAATTTAAGGCAAAAAAGGCAGTATCAAAAAAGAAGAACAAATTTAGAACAACAAAATATATAAATGTTAAATAATATTAGCGTTAGGCCGACATTCTGTAGTAGTTATCTCTAATGCTAAAAACAAAATAATACGAGACATAAGAGAAATTTAGTTGTGCTGAGATCAAAAATGAAACTAAAACACTGAAACACAAATTAATTGGAAGGAATCATAACGTCGTTAGACACACCTTCTGTAGTCGTTGCCTCAGCTGCTACGGGAAATGAAGAGGTAAATAATAGAATATTACAGTGGTGTACAAAAATTTACAACGGAAACAAAAGACAATTTTAAGAAACTGTAAAGTCAGACATACCTACGGTGGTAGTTATCTTTGGTGCTAGAAATTAAACGTCAAGAAAGGTAAGATTAAAATAACAATGAAAAAATAAAAACGAAAAAATAAATACATTTCAAGTAATATGAACGCTCAACTGACCTTCTGTAGTAATTATCTTTGGTGCTACAAATGAAAAGGTAAGCAAGATAAGATTAGCATTATAGAAGTAAACCAAAACGAAAATATAGATAAATTTCAAGTAATATCAATGTCAAACTTACCCGCTGTAGTAGTTATCACTGCTGCTCGATATGAAATTGAAGGGAAAATGAGAAATAAAAAAAGACTACCAGGGCAAAATTAAAAACAACAACATAAAAAAGACATTTATAAGAGAGCAGAATGTTGTTTAACATGCCTTCTGTCGTCGTTTCTTCTGCTGCTCCTGAAAATGAAGAGGCAAATAATAAATATTAAAATAATAATCAATAAACTTAAATAATTGATAGAAGTTGTCTTTCCTGCTGGAAACGAAATTATATGAGAGAAAAGAAACTTTAACGACGTTATATGTATAAAAACAACGAAACAAAATCAAAAAAGAGAACAAAATTGTAAGGAACCATAACGTCTTTAAACATGCCTTTGGTAGTCGTTTCCTCTGCTGCTGGGGAAATAAAGAGGCAGGTAATAAAATATTAAAATAAATGATCAGTGAACTTAGAATTTAAAGGTTAAACAATCTTGAGTACTGCTAACGTCATAAATTAAAATAACAGCAACAAATTCAGAGCGAGGAAATTAGCAAATTTCAAATAATATTATCGCTAGGCTTACCTTCTGTAGTAGTTATCTCTGGAGCTGGCGACAAAAAGGCATAAATATTATAAGTACAAAAAAGCAAGCAACAACCAAAAAATATCAAAACAAAACTAAGAACTGCAATTTCAAATACTGTTAACATTAACCTTACCTTCTGTAGTAGTCATCTCTTGAGCTGGAATGAAACGCACCATTGTTATAAATAAGATAAGGTTATAACATAAAAATAGAACAAAGTACTGCAATTTCAAATGCTGTTAACATTAATCTTACCTTCTGTAGTAGTTATCTCTGGAGCTGCAATGAAACGCACAATTATTATCAATGAGAAAAAAAATTATAACATAAAAATAAAACAAAGTACTGCAGTTTCAAATATTCTTAACATTCATCTTACCTTCTGTAGTAGTTGTACC